CAGATAAAAGCATTCTTTGCAGATTACTCGTGCCCACAGCAGCCACCAGCCGAAAAGATCCAGCACCCACTGCATCCCTCCCTCCTCTGCACAGACCTGGCCACAGGGATGGAACGGGGCTGTCCCGGGGGCTGCAGACCCCAGGGCACTCGGGCAGGGCCACCCCAGCAGGAACCCGGTGAGAAGCCAGGCTGTTTCTGCAGCCAAGGACCTGTTACACACCCCATAGGATGCTTTCAGCAGCGGCCATCCCAAAAAGGCCCTGGAGATGCTCACCGACCTCTGCACAGCTCCCACCAAGCTCATCTTCACTCAGAGCCAGGAATGAATAAAGCCCATCCCTGTGCAGCACAGGTGGCCCCAGCCAGGCCAGCCCAGCCCAGCTCTGCAGCGCTGGGGCAGCTCCCGGGTACCAAGGTGCTCCCTGTTCTCATCCCATTTCTGCCTCCCTGTACCATGATGTGCCCAGAGCTGACACAGAGCTGTGCCCAGAGCCACACTCGATCCACAGCCAGGGGTGTGCGGGCAGAGCAGCAGTGAGCGGTGTCCCCAGCCACCACCGAGGGCAGCCGTGACAGCAGCCGGGCGGTGCTTGGTCCATGGATCACCCGTGGATGGTGCTCGAACCCCACGGCAGAGCTCCCACTGAGAGCGGCTCCCGACCGCCTCCGCAGCGACTGCCCAGCTCCTATCAGCCAAAAAACCCAAGCCAAACCAACGTTCCTAACAACCATTTATTAAAAACCAGTATGATACAAACAGAAAATACAAAACCTTATAAAAACTGGACACCAGACACCAGCCCAGGGTCCCTGCAGCACCCGGGGCTGCTGTGGGGCTCTCCCCGCTCCATCTGTCACAAACCCAAGCCCCAAGGTTTCAGGTGTAGTCGTACTCGAAGGTGTACTCCCTCCTCTTGAAATGCTTCTTCTTCCTCAGCTTCCCGGAGCCCAGGATGCTGTAGTTGTAATCGGAGGTGACGTAGGGGATCTCCCCCTCGACTCCTTGCTGAAAGGAGGAAAACCAAAACCGGAAACAACTTTGAGAACCCTGACTGCAACAGAGCACGAAGCACCTTCCTCCACAGACCGACAGGGGCAAGCCACCACCCAACAACCCCCTCTGGTACCCGAAACACAACCAGAACGCTCTGCTCTCCCTTGCCCTGCGGTGAGGACGATGTCCTAGAGACGGACACCGCTGCATGGTGCGTGTCAGCCCCACAGCAAGAGAAGGGCAGCCCTGCACCAGCCCCAGCTCCCACCTGGCCCGCCAGGACGCAGTTTGGGATGGCGACGTTCCCCAGGAGCAGGCAGTTCACCAGCCGCAGGCTCTCCGGGGGCACCGGCGTCAGGACGTGGTAAAGCTTCTTCTGCATGTCCACCCCTCGCACGATTCCTGAGGAACACACAGAGCTCAGCCTGAACTCCCCAGATCACTTCGGGGTCTGCAACGGGAGGCAGCTGAAGCTCCCTGAACCAGAAGGGTTTGAGACACGTCCTGAGAAGGCCCTGCCTTGCCGTACCCTGCTTTTCCAGCACCCCAGCGTGCCCCAAACCTCCCATCCCTGCCCGCTGACACGCTCCCACCGCAGCTCGAGGGGCCCAGCAGCGCGCTCTGGGCCAAACAGCAGCATTAAATCGAGCTGCAGAGGGAACTGACAGCCAGCCACAGGGATTCTGTGTAAGCCATGGCGAATCTGCTCCTGAGAATGAGCGCAGAAAGCAAGAAAACCACTGAGCTGTGAGAGCAGGAAGCTACAGAAGGTGCTGCTCCAGTGGCACTCATCGTGGCTGCTGCCACAGGTTAAGGACAGAGCTTGTAACAGAGAACCCACGGTTACTCTGATCTCACCCCCCTTTCCTGGCTGTTTTCAATAGGGCACTCTGCACCCGTCACAGCACAGCAGGAGAGGCAGCGCAGGCGCTCGCTCACCGAAGCCCAGGCAGTCGCAGAGCGGGGTCTGTGTCAGCAGGACGGGCCCGTCACCGTGGCCGCTGACCTCCTCGGCGAGGCGGCACAGCCCCACCCAGCTGGCGTTCACCGCGTACATCGTGTTGGTGGGAGCCACCTCGGTGTGCACCACCCTGAGCGCAACCGCGCTGAAAGGAACCTGGGGGGGAGAAGGAAGCTGTTCATCATCGGGTCAGCATCACGAGCAGCACAGAGAAAGGGACCTGGGGTGTTGGTGGCAGCAGATCCCATGAGCCAGCAATGTGCCCTTGAGCCAAGAAGGCCAACGCCATCCTGGGCTGGATGAGAAGGGGTGGTTGTAGGGCAGAGAGGTTCTCCTGC